AAACCTTTTTTTAAAACCTTATGTGGCCAGAAAAATTGCAAAAACTCATAAAATGCAAGCAGAATTTTTCTTTACCTGTTTTTGTTTTGTAAAACACGTTCCAAACAATTTTAATGCATTAATTAATTATAATATTGTTGCGTGCATACGGGTTTGTAATAGATTGATAATAGTTCGTAAATGATTGTCATTGCACTCAAATCCGATGATAGCTTAATTAAATTAATTTTATCAACAGAAACACTTCAAAGTTCTGGAATTTTCCACAGAAATACTCGTACAAGTGTTTAGAATATCACTAAGTATAATCAGTAATTATGCTTCAATCTAATAAGAACATTAAACACAACGGAATGCAAAATGCATCTTAAGAGAAAGTTAACTCAGAAATATCTCCAATCTCCTGTTGAACTAACAACTGGCAACAATAACAACTTATATAGCATAAATAATATCATAAAAATAGTGTGGTATAATGAGATTATTACTTTGAAACCAATGTTTCGAATTGATGCCCAAGAAGAACCAATATTCCCATTCTGCTTCATTGCATATCTTTCAAAAAGTAAAAAAATCATCCAAATAATTTCCTTTATCATTTTTTTAAATGCGAAAAGTTTGTTTTATAAGCTGTGAAAATGATGGAAGTTTGTAACCGATATATTTTTAGATATGAAATTTTAAAACTAATGGGCGTCAAAAAGTCTAAAAATATGAACAATTTAAAAAAATTCTTCCAAAATATTTTTTAAAAAAATTATGCTAAAAATTTCATTTAATTTTTTTTTCCTCCACAGTGTGTTATGGTGCAAACTGTAATATTCTGAGATTCTCAGTTTATTTGTTAATATTTGCAGAAAGTCGTTTCAACTTTAAATTTGAAAAAAATCGAATCCTCTAAAAATCAAAAGCGTTACACCACATCCACAAGCAGTGTATGTACAAAGTTTGAGTTCTATAGCTTATCGGGAAGCAGTTTAAAAATCCATGACCATCTTTTAACCATAGTGACAAGCACCAAGATTGAACTAAATAACAGCTTATAAAATAATAATAATAATTAAAAATCATATATTTTTCAGGAACCATTACGAAATTTCAGGTACCTGTTATGAAAGTACAGATTACAAAATTAACAACAGTAAACAGCGTTAAAAATGTGGAAACAGTATTAGAAATCTGCCAATTCGGAGACGTGATTGTTCACAGAGGCTTAGGTGTAAAGGGGAAGGAAGATGGTGGTCTTCTGAACGGGTCCTAAAGACGAAACTCTTTCATGTCTCCTTTTTCTCCCCTTGCTAACGGCAGCTGTGCGAAGGAGCGTTGCATGTGAACGGAGCTATAATTTTCAGTATAGACCCATTTCCAAATGTGAAGAAATTCTGTGGGTACTTAAATATTTTTTCATAAAACATTTTTGACAAATTTAAAGTGTTGCCATATAGTGGGATTTTGTAATGCAAATAATAGATGACCATCACATCACAGCATATTCATAAGAGCTTCGCTTTAATTTTATTTAACCGTGATGGGGGAAATTACAATATGAAACTCATTTTACAGAACAAAAAGCGGTAGATTGTTTTCAAAGTAACAGTTTCTGTTGGTTTCAAATAATTTAGGCCTATTACAATAAGCATAAAATGTTACGTATGTTCTGAAGATAAATTTTCACTACTTAAATTTATAATCATTAAATAAATAGACATAGAAATAAAAACGTTGACAGCTTATTCTTCACCACCACTTGTGAGTGATTTAGTTAAAGTGTGCAAACCTAAGTTACCAGCTAACTGAACCAGTTTTAAAATATAAAGTTTCTTTTCATGATTACTATAAATTAAACAAATTGATCTGACCTAAGTAGAGACTACAATGGCTAGACTATGCCAGTTCAGGTTCAGGTTGAAGTGCAGTGTGCACCGATTGGTTAACTTTTGGCAATGTAAGTATTGTTCAGCTGCACTATTGTATCTTTATTTGAATATTAATTTTTCAAGAATTTTGACATGTTTACAATTTTACATATAGTTACAGTATAATTATGTCATGTGGTGCCACTCATACTTGTGTTATAAGTACATAATGGCAAATACGTAGCAGTGCTTTTACATACATATGTAATAATATGATTCTATACATATATGCAGAGACCATTTTGTACAATTACATGCGAGTACATACTGAGAGCATTATGCACATGCATAGAGTACTTACCAAATGAATAAACAGAACATTTTGTATGTAAATTATTTTTCAGAAAATTTTTTATTTTATTTATTTATTTATTTTGTGTGTGTGTGTGTGTGGGAGAGGGTGAAATGCAAACAGTTGTATGATCCTCTTATCTTTTTGGCAGTCTGTACTTTTATGGATTTTGTTCTTCGGTCTTATTGTCAAATAAGTCCTTTTGTCAATTCCTTTTTTTTTTTTTTTTTTTTTTAATCACAGTGTGTTCATTATAATCTTAGTTTGTACTGCACAATTCTTTTCCTCTACTATTGAGGAATATAATTAAGAGTTCTATATTTCTTCTTAGAGAAGAGTTTTCTTCTTCTTTTAAAGTTTTTAATGCTATTTGCAGTTACTGATGTGTATTAGTCTCTGAGAGTTTTAAATGATAGTTTTCTTTGAATGGGCATTTGATGATGTAGTGGTTAGAATCACTCCTTTCCTCGCATATATGTGTTCAGAATGAGCTATGCTTTGTTTGTAAAAGTAAGTGGGTAGGCTCATGTCCTCTCATAAACCAATTGATTAGATGTTTCATATTGGTTCTGTCTGAATTGATGTGAGATATAAGTTAGTAGAGTCTTCTCCCTTTATCACTAGTTTTCCACTCCTCTTCCCGTACTTCTTTCCGTAAGCAATTAAGTTAATAAATTTAGATGGGATTTAGGCCAAAGGTAAAGTTATTAGATCTGTTTGCACAAACTTGGCAATGTGCACTGCCACTTCGTCAGCTTCTTCATTTCCAGAAATCTCCACATGGGAGATTTTGCCACTTCATCAGCTTCTTCATTTCCTGAAATCTCCACATGGGATTTAACTCACAAAATTGTAAGATGTATATCGGAATTCAAGATAGAAATATTATACATATCTTGGATGATCAGATAATTATGTTTGATATTTTTCATAGCTAGAATCATGTCCTGGCTGTCCATACATTTTTTAACTTCTATGAGTTTTATTTCAGCACAGTATTGTAGGGCTATTTTTATTGCTGATAATTCAACTTGGAGAATGCCACTTTGATTTTGAAGTTTTATCTTTTCATATTATTGTAACTTGGGAAATAGTATGAATAATACATGCATATCCGACTCCTTCATCCATTTTAGAGGCATCTGTGTATGTGCATGGGTAGGGGTTTACTGCTGGGTGCTATCTGTATTGATTACAAGGAGATTCATAATTGTAATGTTCAAAGATTCTATCTTTTATGGAATAGCTCCTTTTGAGCCTTAAAATTGTGCCTTTGGTGTGTTCTATTTGCACTGTAATGTGTAGGGGGGCTATTCCTGCAGCTAACAGACTGCCTCATTTGATGTTATTCTGTAGCATTTTGTAATGCTTAGTATGGATGTGTGTTGTATTGGCGGGAGCTGAATTTCCTTTTGTGAATTGCATTTGTGGTAGTCTTGTTGAGGTAAGAATCCAAACTGGGTTTTGTTTTAATCTCGGTTTAATCTTGCTTATGGTTAGGTGGTGGTGTAAACAGCCTGGTATTGCTCTCTCATAGATTTTCCCAATTATTGGAAGTAGGTTTATTGGCCTGTATGAGTTTGGATGATCTGTATGTTAATTTGGCATGTTGAAGATATCCTGTTTTAAAGCAGTTTAGAAAGGTTCCTATCTGTAGACATTTATTATATAGATCTGTAGACATTTATTTCTGAAGCTATTCTTGTTTGATTTGTGAATGATTTGAATTAGTTTATTGTTGATTCCATCTAGGCCTGATTCTTTGTATTTGGAAAGTTTTTTTTATGATATCCATAATTCCTTTTATCATAAATGGTATGTCATTTGAAGTATTGGGAGTCCTTGTATCATTCCTCAATAACTGTTGTTCTTGATTATCTTGTGATGGATCATGCAAAATAAAAATGTTGTTCATTATTTTCATTATCGTTGCAGTGGTGGTTTCATCTTGCGATGAACTATTATATCTTATTGTTGAGAGTCAAAGTTGGATGGGGCTGAAGATTTTGTTTCTACAGATTTTAAATTGTGACAGAAATTTGAACGTTTGACTTCGCAAAAAGTAATCTATTTTTAATGTATAATATTCAACTCAAGACCAGTTTTGGAGTGTCCAACAGCACAATACTTGCATAGTTATTTGTAATTCTGTAAACTTTATGCTAAACACTGCTTGCCACTTAAATCTACATAAATTCTGGAAGAAGAAAACCTCATGGCAAAAAAAGACAGAAAGGAAAGAAGAAAATTCAATAACATTTCATTATTAAAATTTAAATGCCACAACAAAGCAGGTTATACTCATCTGCATACCCAAAACATTAAAAGATAGTGAAGTTTAACAAAATGGTACAATAAAAGACGCTGCAGAACTGTGCTGGAATAATTGTCATTATTTTTAATCAATTTATTTTTAAAATAATATTAGAGTTCAAGCTCATATTTGTTTTATATGCTATATCTGTAAGTTGTATCTGTTGATTATGTATCAAACAAGGAGTGACTTATAATCATCTAAAATAATGATCTGTTCATTCAAACTGTAACCGGAATGATTTTTAGAAGTTTATTGGAATCATCGTCAACTTTTCTGGTCAGCACGAAAATAAATAAGTATATAATTCGCTGCTTCAAAACTACACTGTTTTAAATATGCTACTACAAAACTGTCGCATGTTTTAAATTTTGCTGTTATGTAAATTAAGAAAAATACGATCTTTTGTTTTCTTCTTTCTTTTGGAAATGAAAAGTTTATATAATTATATCAATAATTCGTTGTTCTTATCTTTCAGGAATATTGATAATAAAGTAAAAAATGCAAAGGAGTTTGTACAGCCAGAGTAAGTAATAATTTTGTTTTTATTTGATAAGTTTCCCTTCATTTTAATTCTGTCTCTTACTTTTGGGAATAAATCATTTAGTTTTATACACTCTTAAATTTGCAAATGTATGTCTAGTTTTATGAACAGTATTGAGCCAAAGGTACTAATTATGCTGCGAAAGAATCATACAAATATTCGGAATCAGGTACATAAGCATACACTTCTGTGAATGGTGGAAGGGATATTAGCATATGTAAGGATCAAGATGTAAGGATTTGGATGATATGTGTGCTTGTATTCCTTCATGACATTCACCATGTTTCTCAGAAGAGTTGGTTAAGTTTTATAAGGTATCAGATAAAATGAATGGCCCCAAACATATGGATTACAGAATGGAGAAGGAAAATTGTCAGATTGGATGCAGATTAATCACAAGCGTTGGTGGCTACAGAGGTCAATATAATGCCCAGTGTCAACTGCAACTCCTGGAAATAGTTTTAGGACACTGGAGCCATATCAAGACCTGGACAAGGTTGACCAAGATCCACAATGATGAATGAGGATTATTATATTGCACTTTCAGTTTGGTGACACAGGACACTTGAACACCACTACAGGAGCTCCCGACCTAAGGCGTTAGCCTAGCAGGATGATACTCCTACAGTGGAAGTTATCAGATCAGCGACAGTTATTGAAAATTTTTGCAAATGTATACAACAAGTTACATTGCATACATGCTGCTTTACAATTAATTTTGTCAGAATATTTTTTCCAAACATGTTCACAGTTACATAATAATACTAGGATACAAAACATATAATACAAAAATACAACATAGCTACACATCACAATTTTGATAAATAATATAACTTAATGTACTACAATACTGTCCTTTAACTCCGTAATATGGCTTATTTAACAATTTTGTGATGTTACATATATTAAACATATTACGTAAAAATACAATGCTGTATTATATAATTCTGTGGTAATATTTACTGACAGTAATAATATTGCAATAATAATACAATAATAATAAATTATATTAATATATTAATAATAATATCAGAATTAATATATTAATAATATCAGGATCAATATATCCTTTTCATAGTAAAATCCTTCTCATAGTCAATATTCATAAAGTAAATTGTCATTTAGTCATTGTCAATAGATATATTGTTTTGGTGTTGCAACAATATATCAATTGTAGTCCAATTGTTTAAAAGTCATGTTATATTGTCAGGTAGCAAAGAGTCATTGTCATAGTCAGTCAATAGTCATTAAATTGGTATATTTACAATATTCAACAATTAGTCATTGTTATAGTTAATAATACATGTCATAGTCAATTGTCATGAAGTATGTTTTCATTATATCATAATCAATAGGCATAGTCAGTCAATAGTCATAAAATTAGTATATTTATAATATTCAACTATTAGTCATAGTTAATAGTCCATGTCATAGTCAACAGGACACTGCTACAGCTCTCACAGGAGTTGTATGCTGCTACTAGAACCTGAGTTTCATGATCTACAGCTGCTTTAAAACTTAAAAAAAAATAGGCTGTATGTCAGAAGGTCGCTATTAGCCTCCCTCTGCAGCACACAAAGGAATGTGTTTACCGTGGCGTATGTCTTGATTCTTGGTGTGCCTTTATCTGGAGAAAATCTGGAGCACAATACCATCCCATCCTTATCAGGGAAAATTATCATTATGATGGTGGAGGTGTATTGGTTTGAGTAGGCAATATGTTGGACAGTTGTTTGTTTGTTTGACAAAGGCATCCTGAGCAGCATTTGTTTGACAAAGGCATCCTGAGCAAGCATTTGTTTGACAAAGGCATCCTGAGCCGTATGTTCAACTTTTCAGGAGGGACAGTTAATCCTGGGTTCCTGTTAACAAATTAGCAATGCTCGTCCACACAGAACTTAGCTAGCTGACGATTGCCTGGAAAGGGAAGATATTCACTGCTTGGATTGGCCATTGAGATTTACTGACCTTTATAAGGTATTTCTACCGCCTTCTTAGCATGATAGTCAGCACACTCGGCACGTTTTCGAGAGGTTCGTGGTTTGAGTTCCAGCAAGAGCATTGCTCATTTTTCATCTCTTCTCCTTCCAAATAACCTAATGTCTCTACAGTGGCGCCCGAACTAAATAAAGTGGTGAATGATGATTTTTCACCACCAGGATTTGGCGATTGGGTCCCCTAAACACTAGTTGCCCTTTAAAAGAAAAAAATATATAAGGTATTTCTCCTGCCTTCATAGTGTAGCAGTCAGTTTGCTTGACACGTATTCGAGAGGTCCGTGGCTTGAGTCCTGGCGAGGATATTGCTCATTTTTCATCTCTCTTGCTTCCAAAAAATTCTGATGTCTCTACGACCTTAACCCTATAGAGCATGTTTGGAATGCTCTTGGGAGGGCAGTTTTCAAAATAGTTGTTTGGGGGTGACCTTTTAAAGGTTTGGAAGAAAATAAGTTGCAATGTGTACAGCAGTTTTGGCTGCTTGATTGGGAGTATAAGCGAATGTATTTTTCAAGAGCTCAGGTTTAAATTCTGTGCAGAGCATGGTTATTCCTGACTAATATCTGCAGAAGGAGGGCATTCCTGGGCCTTATCAGTCCTCTCAAAGCTGCTATCAGACTAAACAAAAAATTTGTGCAACATTCTGTCAAATGCAACATTTTCAGAAATTTCATGTAGTCTGGCTATGAAGTTAGGTTTTGTGAGCGTTCTATCTGATTGCTTGAACTGGCCAGAACATAATGCCGGATGGAATGTTTTTCTGTTAGTATAAGAGGATGTAACCAGAAACCTGCCATTCAAACTGTTTATGAGCGAATACTTTTGCGAATAACAGTCTATTTCATTTTGTATATGTTATTGTAATACTAGTATAAAATATCACTAAAAGGAAAAGTAGTGGTAAGATACTTCCAGGCTGTTCTTGATCAAACCTGGGATGGAGCCGTTCAAATTCCCACTATCTAAAAACAGCAGAAAGCAATGATCTATGGTGCACTGATAATTATGGAGCCGTATGGCTAATACTGAAAATTTGAATAAACAATAACTACATAATAATTAAAATTGATATGAGGAGAATATACATCTCTTTTCTCATAATGAAAAAGCTCCCTGAAAATTGCATTTAGGTGAGAACAGGAAGTTCAGAATGATGCTAAAAATATGCAAAGATACTTTTTTTATATAACTTAACCTTTGGCTTGATTTCTTTCGTATGTATATATTCATATCTGTTATAAGGTCAAGGATATGGTTAGATTTTAAATATTATTATGGAAAATAATCTCAGCATATAGACACAAACTGCTTTCTTGAATTACTGAATTTTTAATCTGGAGCTTTAAAGGTGTTAAGATGATGGAGGTGATTACTCATTTCTGGTGCTCACTAAATTTTTCACATGATACATGTAGTACTTTGATTATCTCTGCTCCTATTAAAAAGCCAGTGGAGAAGTATTAATGAGGCATAGCCCACATGCATTTGAGTACATGTGAAATTGCACTTTTGAAATTCATCAATCGTTTTTCTTATTGGTATATCTTTTTGCATCGAGTGCATTTGTTATGTCGCGAATTTAAATTATTAATATGTGCTTCAAGTCATTATTATTCTAATATTTTTATTTGTATTCATGTGTATTTTAATCTGGAAAAAAGTATTCTTAAGCTCTTAAGGTTTTATTTAACTCGTTATTCTTAAGTAGGAATTGTAACAAAGGCAAGAGATGGTTGCAATTATCCATCTGGTTTATGGCCTTTTTGCGGAGGCAGTAGGGTATGTGTGTCGCCCTTTTTAACTCATGGCATGTGAAACGGAAATCGGCTTCCTGTCGCTTTGTTATAATTTCAATTTTGTTACTTCAAGACAGTGGGTGTGTACTAAGCTTAGGTAATTGGATTCTCGTAAAGCTTAGTTTCACTTTTTAGTTGGGGGGTTCATTTTTTTTTCTCACGTTGTGTGTACAGATGTTTCGGACTGCATTGTCAGATTTTTTGGTGTTTGATTCATCATAGGTGTGTCATTTTCTCAATTTAGATAACGTAAAATTCCGGCATTAGTAAGGTTTAATTTGATGATTTTTTGAAAGCCTATAAACTCACAGAGGCGGAGAAACTGAGATTTCCTGGGTGCTTGTACCAGGCTAAAAATTATTCTGATTCTGATTTTTCAAGAAGAGTAAGAGGAGAAAAGGGGGGGCTTGACCCTTCGGGTCTTGCTTCTCGCAAGCCGTGGTGGGCAGCAGGTATGATTTTCTCTAGGCGTTTAGCTGGCGAGAATTTGCATTGGCATAAGGCGTAGAGCTCAGCAGAAAATTCCGATTCTCTTGATCCAAGAATTGAAATGCAGATTCTTGTTGTGATCCGGATGCTGTGTTCCTGTTTTTCCCGACTTTCACTTTCTAATTAGATTCTGTTCTAAAGGTGCTCGTGCGTTTCGAGGCGTCCAGAATGAAAGAGACTCGTTCGTGTAGGATCCGTCTAAGGTGTGCGATGCTGTTTATTCTGCCTGTGGCGGCTGCGTCGATTTTTTTTTCCTCCTTCCGTGCTCTGGAATTTATTTATTGAAAGGACAGCTTCAGTGGTGTTTCAACCAAGTCATCTTTAAAATTTGCAAGAAATGTCTATCTCCATTAACAAGGTTTTGTGAATAAAGGATAGCAGGAATAATGTGGTGCTCGAGTAAACTTTGGATGCTGGACGATCTGTGGAGCTGTCAAATCGCCTTATTAATCAGTATACGAAGGTATTTCCGATTATTGAAAGTTTGCGGTATGGACTTCACCCCGTGAGTGATTTTTTTTATTTGTTTTACTTTAATAATTATCTTAATACTCAAGCAAGAGTCAACATTTTAATGTTTGTTGAAATTTGAGCAATTACTTAAATTAATTAATTGATGTGGAAATTATCAGTGTTCTTAAAGTGAATTACCATGATAAATACTTAAAGTTAGAAGATGAAATGGGAGAAATACTAGTGTTACACTTATGATACAGTAGAATTTGATAATGTTAATCTTAATTAATGTAAGCTGTAATTTGGTGTAGTATTATGTGTTATTTTGCTTAGAAAAATATGTGGTAGGATTACTGATCAGTTATCCATTATTTAATTATATAATATGGTCAAGAATTTAATAAATATGTGTTTAAAATTTAATTGCATTTGTGTATTTATGTTGTGTATATTTTACTGTAGTCTGTCATGTCCCTCCATTTGTTTGAGCCGGAAGGCTTTTAAGAAACATGGAGTTTAATTGAATTTGGAGTTACTGATTTTTCCTTTGCATAGGTTACTCACAACGCGAACCTAAAAGTTAAATTGTACTACGACTATACGATTGATTGATTGATTGACTGATAGATTTGATATACAAATGTTTATAAGAACTCGGTATGATATTTGATTGATTATGAGTATTATGAATGTGAATTATTTGATTTTTTTAAAATTAGTTTTGTCCGGCACTACGTGTTAAGTTGAGTCAAAGTTAAGGTTTAAAAAAGTATTGAAACACAAAATTTTTCATATTTAACACATTTGTTTTTGTCGTAACGAATCGTAATGGAACTGGGAGTTTGCCTTCTTTTATTTTCATTATGTTGAAGTTCAAATACAGTGCAAAACACCAAGAAATATGGGTGCCTTCTCTCTATATATATGTGTAAAAGAAGAAATAAATAGGCAATAACTTGATGCATCAGTGAAGGAGGTGTAAAGCTACCCAAACAAATTTTTCTCTCCAAAGTCAGCAATGAATTCACAAATGCTATCCAGAGTCGCTTAAAGAGTTCACAGTCTTTTTTTTTTTTTTTTTTTTGGATGCTAGTAATTGGAAAGTGCCACATATAAATGCAGTAATAAATAGATTGTTTGAAAAATCAATTTTAAAAGTATCGTTGGAAATCGGAGAGAATACATTGAATCTGGTTTATTCTGAAAATGCAGAACAGCTGTGGTTTATAGTGATATTTTAAATGAGTAATTTAAAATGTTTAATTGAAACTAATTGTTATATTTAATAAATCTGGAGGAAACCTGCAAAAAGTTGAAAAATATATGCATAAAAATACTTCAGAATTTCCATATTTGATTTTCAAAATCCTTTGAATTTGATTTGGTGGAGAGCAAGTATGTTTATATCATGTTATACCAGGGGCCCCCAGCTCTTTTGTCCCTAAGAACAAACTTATTCTAGAATATCTGTTGGATGGCATGTACCACTTACTTTTTCAATATGAATTTAGTGTTGGAGAGAGTTAATAATAATGCACATTAAAAAAAAAAAAAAAAGAGAGAGAGAGAGAGAGAGAGATCGGTCGTATTTGGCTTTGTGTTGGACCCAATTTCTATTTCATTAAAAATGAGAAAGCTTTCACATAGAAATTTTGTTGAAAACTAAAACATTTTTATTGTGATCACAAAGCGGGCTGGCACACGTTAAACGATTGGCTGGCACCATGATGCCCGTGGCAATAGTGTTTGAACCCCTGTACTAGACTCTATTCAAATTCAAAAATCAAACATTTTACATCATTTGTTTTTAAAATAGTAATTTGTGATATTTATAATTGTAAATATTTCAGGAATGCCAAAAATTCAATAAATGTAAAAGAAAAATCCACGCAGTTAGAGTAAGTAGCAGTCCTTCATTTGCTTCAACTCTAATATATTTCCAGTTTCATGTGAAATTCCTTCTATATTGTCAGATTTTATTAAATGTCTGATATCAATGCCTCAATACGTATGAGATTCATAACAATAAATTAAATTTAGTTAATGATATTGATACTTCAAATGATTGTGTTCCCTCCAAAAGAGGTGATTTACTATCAGTTTTGGCATCATATTATTTTAGAAAATAAATGTTATATTTATTGACTTCCCATCAGAAGGTGTTGCTTGAAGTAATGTTGAATGATTTTTATTTCAATAACTGAAATAATTAATAACTAAATAATGAAAGTTTGAAAATATACACAGAAAAATTTTAAATTGTACAAATTTTAAAAGTGAATCTTAATTTAACATGTAGACAGCGGCGCGGATATTCATTCCTCTTTGCGTGTGGTGGCGCTTGAATTAGCGGTCTATTTCGTGGGGCGGCACAGCATCAGATTATAATTTTATAATATAATAATTGTGTTTTTTTATATACAAGCATATTTTAATATTTTTCCGCCACACGGAACAGACAATATGACCCACCGGTGGGTCAGGCCGGTGTCAGCGTGTTAAAGAATGGTAAACCATGTTAAATATTTTGTTGAAAATATTGAAGGTACATGATTTGCTAAGGAAATTCAGAAGTGTATTAGTTTTATAATTATTGTTAATCTTTCAGGAATATCAGTAATGAAGCACATGTTACAGAAAACTCCTTACAATCAGAGTAAGTACTTTTTCTTATATGTGCCATTTTTGGGTGTACATGTCATTGCAAAGTCCAATTTCTTTTCTCAGTTAAGCTTTTTTTTTTTTTTTTTATAATTACATTTTTTTTATTCTTCATTTATTATCTAAAGATCTGAGTTTGTATGACCCGAAATGTAATGAAATGCGTAAATAATAGACCAGAAAATCCTGGCAAGTCATTAGTTAGCTTAAAGTATTCTCTTTATTGAGGAGAGATAATAGTTTTTTATAGAGTGCAGTTTGTTGGTATGGTATTTCACTTCAATAGAAAAATGCTTTATTTCCATAAAAATATCAAATTTAAATATTTTTGCACATAACTGAAATTTAATTTTAAAATTAAAGGTAACAATAGGATCATAATGACCCATTATTTGTCTCACTTGAAATGAATGTTGATTTTTATCCAGTACCTGTGTAGCGAAGCGGTATCTTAACTTTAAATTAATAAACCTAAGAATACATCACTGCGAGTGGACTGTAAAATTAACCTTTATTCTGCGGTTTGAACTTTCGAACACAACACAGCACAAAGTAAAACGACAGAGTTACAATTAGCGGTTTTAAGAATGCAAAAACAAAATGCGAGCTACGCATACAATCTGTGCATTGCGGAAAAATATCTCAAAGACAGGCAGAGAGCTCTGGTGGCCAAAACATTCCGCCCGGCGTTGAAACATCGTTTCAAACTAAATAGCTTTTACAAAATGAAATTATCATAACAATATTAAATTATGCAAAAATGTATCATTAAAATATTCACAAGAAAACATACTATGAAATTATGCAATGAAACTAAATTGTTCTCAAAACAGATGCACAGAAGCCTTGATACAATTAAGGAACTTAATTATAGCTAAAGCAAAGTACAAAGTTATAATGCTTTAGGAAAAAAACTTAATCATTGATAGGCAAACACTAAGTTTGTGAATTGGCTTTTTGAAAACTCCGTTAGCAGTTTTGATCTTCATGATACGCACAATATTATCTGAGCTAGGAAAAACTTCCAGCACCCGTCCTAATTTCCATCGTAGCGGGGGCAAATTGTCTTCCTTTATGATAACTAAATCATTAACCTTTAAATTAGGTTGCACTTTCAACCATTTTGAACGTCGTTGCAAATTAGAAATGTATTCATGGGACCATCTTTTCCAAAAGCTTTGAAACATTTTCTCAACAAGCTTCCAACGTTGCAATATAGGAATTTTTTGATCGTGTAAACTTTCTTCTGGTAAGGCAGTTAGCGGGGACCAATTAAAAAATGGCCTGGCGTGAGTGCAGAAAATTCTGATGGATCTTCAGACAGTGGACACAAAGGTCATGAATTTAAACAAGCTTCAATTTGAGCTAGCAATGTCATAAATTCTTCTTGCGTTAGAAGTTGTTCACCTATGGTTCGCTTGAGATGTAACTTTGTAGATTTGACTGCAGCTTCCCATAATCCTTCCAAAATGTGGTGCTGTGGGAGGATTAAATATCCACTTAATACCTTCAGTAGAGCAATATTTATTAACCAATTCATTTTCATTCAAGGAGTTTATTACTCTTTTCAATTCCTTATCTGCAGCAATAAAATTTGTGCCACAATCGCTATGCACGTCTATTGGTTTTCCTCTTCGAGATACAAAGCGCTTCAAAGCGGCAATAAATGATTCTGATGTAAGATTACCTACTAATTCAATATGTATAGCTCTTGTAGTAAAACACACGAATACACAAATGTAGCATTTCATCGATTTTACTCCTCGACATTGCTTGGGCTTCACTTGAAATGGCCGGCGTAGTCAATTCCAACTTTGGAGAAAACCTTTGACGGAACGACTCTAGACGATGGTAAATCAGACATTATCTGGGTAGATGTTTTAGCTCGTACACGATGACATTTCACGCATTTCCAAATCTGTTGTCTTACAACTGACCTAGCATGGATTATCCAATATTCTCTTCTAATTACTGATAGCAATAGCAGGGGGCCAGCATGAAGATGGGATATATGAAAATGATTCACTATAATCTGAGTTACGTGATGTTTCTTGGGCAACAAAATAGGGTATTTTCTGTCCTGCGCGATGTTGGATTGTCTTAATCTTCCTCCAACGCGTATAAGTCCATTCTTATCGATAAAGGGGTTCAAAGAAAGGATCTTACTATTTGAGTTTAACGGTTGATTCTTTTTCAGAAGATTATATTCATTAAAAAACTCATCCATTTGAACTACTCTAACAATTGCATTTCTAGCGTATTGCAATTCTTCGGTTTTAAGGTAACCCTTAATCCTTGTTGCGGTAGATTTAGATGAATTATTCGCAAACTGAAAACACCATGCGATGATTCTTTTAAGTTTCAAGAATGTTGAAACTTCATTAAGGACTGGAATTTGCGAAGCGACTGTTCCAATTGAACAAGAAATATTTTTCCGTTGTTCCCTTAAAGACTCTTCTGAAAATGGTAAGTTGATAGAGAACGGAATATTATTCGAATTAAGCCAGTGAGGACCTGTCCACCACAAGTCATGAGTAGAAAGCTCTGAAGGCAAAAGACCTCTTGATGCGCAATCAGCTGGATTCTCCTTTCCTTTTATATGATTCCAATGCGATGAAGGTAAGACTGATTGAATTTCTGAAACACGGTTGGCTACGAAGGTTTGCCAGCATGTTGGTTCTGATTGTATCCAGGACAAAACTATCATTGAATCACTCTAGGCGTAAATATCGTCAACATGAATTTGCAATGAATTCTGCACAGCTTGAACCAAGTGCACTAATAGAACTGCAGAGCAGAGTTCTAAACGAGGAATAGAGATTACTTTCAGAGGAGCTACGCAAGTTTTTGATGTTAGTAGCTGCACCGAAATTGAAGAATTATTTGAAGACTTTAAATAAATCACTGCGGCGTAAGCTTTCTCTGATGCGTCACAGAAACAATGAAGTTCTACATTTGTAGATTTGGGCAATAATACTCTCCTAGGAATACGAATGCATTCAAGATTTGCGATATCTTCACAATAGATTTTCCATCTTTAATTAATTTCATCTGGCAAGGGATCATCCCACGAGATTTGTAATTTCCATATATCTTGAAGCAAGATTTTTGCTGCAACTATAAAGGGTGCTAACCAACCAAGTGGATCAAAGATTTTTGAAATAGAAGATAAAATTATTCTTTTAGTAGAACACTAGAAACACTCTCCGTTTTCGAGATTTCCAAAGTGACAAGTAAACTCGTCTTGCGTTGGATACCACTCCAAACACAATAATTTTATTGATTTAGTATCAACTACTGTACATGAAGAATTTGAGTTCCGAGCACTCAAAGCAGTTTCCAAAATCGAGCAATCATTTGTACACCATTTATGCAATTGAAAGCCACCTTTTTGTAAAAGTTCACTCAGTTGTGAAATTAACTCTACTGCGTGTCTCTACTGTGTCTGAACCAAATAGGACATCATCAATATAACATTTGTGTAATATTATTTCAGCTGCTTTTGGGAATTTAGTTCCTTCGTCAATTGTTAGTTGTTTGAGTACGCGAGTAGCCAGGTATGAAGCGGAAGTAGTGCCGTACGTAACTGTGCACAACCTGTAAGTTTTAATCGGCTTCGATGGATCATCTCTCCAAAATATTTTTTGGAAATCGCGATCTTCATCATAAATTTGAACTTGTCGATACATTTTCAATAAGTCGCTAGTAATGGGTATGGGATAGCATCTAAACCTCAAAAGAATAGTAAATAAGTCGTCTTGCACCTTGGGACCATTCATTAGCGTGTCATTAAGCGATATCCCTGATGTAGTTTTGGCACTAGCATTGAAAACGATGCGTAATTTTGTGGTAAGACTGGATTCTTTTAGCACGTCATGATGAGGTATGTAATAATGAAAATTTACTTTATCTGGATTATCATAGGATAATTCTTCCATGTGTCCAAGTGATAAATATTCGGACATGAAGTCTTTATACTGTTGATATACTTCAGGAGTTTTTATTAATTTTTGTTCCAGATTAAGAAAGTTGCGAAAGGCTGATGGTCTGGAATTACCTTACTCATTTCTTTTAGGCTTGAATGGCAGTTTTACTGAGTAACGACCCTTTTCACAACGCACGTGATTTTCCACGAAATGATTTTCACACAATCTTTCCTCTTTAGTTAAAGGTTTCGATGTGGGAATTTGTTCCAAATCCCAAAATGATTTAACTAATTCCTCCGTGTTTACGTTTAGCGTATTGACTGAAACCTGCTTACGGTTTGGGAATTCAAAATGTGTAGTTCCAGCAATTATCCATCCTAACTTAGAACAACATGCAAATGGAAGATTTTTGCCCCTTTTAATTACCTCGCCATTTATTAAAGTAAGGAATACATTAACTCCAAGTAAAATATCAATTTCTCCCGATTCATGAAATGTAGGATCTGCTAAAGTTAAATCTTCGAAACTTTCATATAAATTCAAAGGTAATGTTACACTTTGAATGTTTCCTGTAATTTTGTCTATTATGTAAGCGGATGTTGAAATTCTGTAATTAGTATTAAAATGAGGTGTAAACAACAACCTCAACTTCTCCAGTAGTAGTTGTATTGAAAGTACCTAAGCATGACATTATCTTCGAATCCTTTATGCTCAATCCTAAATTGATAGCTGTTTTCCGACGAATGAATGATTTTTCACTACCTGAATCTAGTAAACATCTACAATTTATGAATTCATTTTTTGAGTTTTGAACCTTAATTAAAGCAGTACACAAAAGTACATGACTACGTTTACCATTATCATGAGCTCCAAAATGTTTTATTTTCATAGTTGTTTGCACAAACAGTTGGAGAAACCTCACTCAAGTTGTTTTCTGGTTTAATTTGCGATTTCGGAACAAACTCTTGTACTTCCGGTGAAGGGAATCTATATGCATTTTTTGGTTTGAAATTATTTTCTAAATGCAAAATGCTATGATGATGCTTAAAACAATGCTTTCAGGTGTTTGCACTCTTACACATTTTAACTTTATGGACATTAGACAAGCAATTAAAACAAAGTTTATTAGTCTTAACAAACTCTATTCGTTTTTGCACTGGTAAATTTAAAAAATTAGAACACCTGTATAAAAAATGATCTTCTTTACAAAATAAGCAAGTAGAATTAGTAATCAGAGAAGTAACCCTATTATACACTGGTTTATCTGATTTATGCGTTTTACTAATTAAAGGTTTACTGTTCTGTAATGTTCTAGCGTAATTCTTTTTCAAAAATTCTATCAAGTCATTCAACTTTGGTATTTCGTCTTTTTTTTAATTGACGCTCCCACCACAACTTTGTCGAAACGTCAAGTTTTTGCAAAATAATATACAACAACAAAGTATCACTAAAATTATCTATCCTTTGATCTAATATTTCCAATGAGCGAGTTATTTCGTTTAAGTTATCTACTAAATTTAATATCGATGATGCAGATTCCGTTTGTATTTGTGAAACGTTAAGAATTCTTTTAATAAAAGCAAATATCTGTTCTCTCTTATTAGAAAATCTCTCTTCTAGTAAATTCCAAGCAATACTGAAATTTTGATCAGCTATGGGAATTGACTGAATAATGCGATAAGCATCATTTTTCAAAGAACTCTTTAAATATTGTAATTTTTGAGCTCCAGAAAGATTTGGATTGTTGCGAACACTAGCGTTAAATAAATCTTTAAATGTTATCCATTCAGTTAAATTTCCGCTAAATGTGGGTAAAGATAATTTCGGTAACTTTAAACTTTCAGAGATTGATTTAGGTATGACAGGTTTGTCGCCATTTGCATTTACGACCTTGTAAATCTTTAACTTACGAATAATTTTTAAGTGAACCTCCTCAATTTTCTCTAAAATCGACTGTTCTTCCTCAACGAAAGTGTCTATTTTTTCATCATCACAATTTGTATAAATTTCTCTAAATAGAGATTTAAAATCTTCCTTAAAGATTTTACATTTTTCTAAGATTAATTCAGCTTCAGCATTATCTAAGTTATCATAATCTATTCTCTCGATGAATTTAGTTAACTGTGTTTTCAAAATTTTCTTTCGTTTTTTTTTTTTTTTTTCTATATCTGACATTTTGAAAATATTCTAAATTCTCGATTTTACTAATACTTTAAACACAAAAATAGTAGCAATAACGAAATGTCAAATGCAATTAAAATGCGTTAACTATTTCACTCACCTCGAACACTGTATCTATTGCATAACTCTTGAGAATTATAAACCGTAATTGCATTATCAACTTCATTACGGACACATAAAATTCTTATTCACAAGCGCGGGTTTTTCTCGAAGCTCCAGCGTAGGACGACCAAATAATGTAGCGAATCGGTATCTTAACTTTAAATTAATAAACCTAAGAATACATCACTGCGAGTGGACTGTAAAATTAACCTTTATTCGGCGGTTTGAACTTTCGAACACAACACAGCACAAAGTAAAACAACAGAGTTACAATTAGCGGTTTTAAGAATGCAAGAACAAAATGCGAGCTACGCATACAATCTGCGCATTGTGAAAAAATATCTCAAAGACAGGCAGAGAGCTCTGGTGGCCGAAACAACCTGGTTCTTCTGCTCATCCATTACATATCGATATAGCAAACTTCTTTAAATGCGATAATATGGTATCTGTTGGAAACTGATGTTTTATTGTTAATTTTCTTCTCTGCTTTTTTTCCCCACCATTTTCAAATTTCATGAAAACTAATCATCCTGAGCTTTAAATAACATCATATGAATAATATTAGTTTCCTTGATAGACAATATGAGTGAATGTTGATTTTTTGTAATTTTTGATGAGGCTCCTTTGCCAACTTTCAAGTACTGTTCATATCAGCTGACAGAAACTAAATAAAATGATTTTAGAATCCATAGATGATTGGATTATTTCTGAAATAAATTATGAAATTTTAATCATTTTCAATGGTATTTTATTTGTGATTATTAAATATTAACAGTTGTAATTGTTGAGAGTTGTTGATAAAGATTGAAAAAAAAAAAAAAAAAAAAAAGGTAGAATGCCATGATATTCTAGACCTAAATTCTTAGGAAATTAGACCTTAAAATCTATATATTGTAAATGATTTTCAATTTTTATAGTATTCGAACCAAAAGTTCCTAAGTTCCTAATAAAAGAGGGTAAAAATACATGGAACACGGTGATTGTTAATCAGAATTTAGACTAAGACTCGTGACTGCAGCATACCAATTTTATTGCTGTATTATTATGTTATTTTTAATCTTTCAGGAATATTCATGATATAGCAGATGCTACAGGAAAATCATTACAATCCGAGTAAGTAGTAATCATTACAATTTAAGTATCAGAATTTAGAAGAGGACTTGTGCATGCAGTGTATCAATTTTATTATGTTATTATATCACTTTTATGTATTTTCAGGAATGTTCATGATACAGCAGATGGTACTGAAAAATCATTACAACCTGAGTAAGTAGTAATTTATTTTTCTACACATTATATTTCTAATATCTAAAATCATTACAATCTGGACAATTGGTAATTTATTTTTCTATATGTTACATTTCGGATATCTTTGCTGATACTTTTCATATTTAGGTTTGCATTTAACTTTTGGGATAAGAAAGGAATTTGGAAAATAGTTGAAATTTTGGAATATTTAATTTTTCTATTGTCATCAGAATTGCTAATGAGAATAATATGTTTTCATAAGGTAGGTTTAATACATAGTATGTAAACTATATCCTTATTCTTGATAACATGAATCTAGCAATCACTAAACTCGCATAGCATTATTCACTCGCATACTGCTTTACTCTCCATAACACTTATGGAGAGTAAATCAGTATGCGAGTGATTAATGCTATGCGAGTTTAGTGATTTCATAATCTATCAGTGGTTAAGTGGTTAATATATTAAAAAGGCAGTATCAAATTTTATTTTTAATTAAGTCGGAAATTAAAGCATTTTAGGAAATAAAACATAATTGTTATTTATCATTTTGTAGCCAAAGACTGCTTTGGAAGTTTTAGCACCTGTGGTGCTGTTGGTCTTGATTCTCACCTTTTTGACCATTTCACTTTTCAAATGAGAGAACATTTTCACCAAATGTTATAACTGTATATTATTTTTAAAGAAGTAATATAAAGAATATATAAAATGCATGGCAATATTTAATACTTTATTCAGAAATCTAGGTAGACTGCTTTGTGATTTTGCTGTTAAATTTTATCAGGTGTAGGTATAAAGAAAGTTGTGTTCCATAAAAAGACAAAATGTTAATAATAAAATAGACAAAACATGTTGTAAAGTCATCTTACTAAAAAAAACTGAGCAATGTTATGAACTTGGAAATGACTGAAAAAAAATTAATGACAACATGTAACACTGCATCAGGAATTCTAAACGTATATTGCTTTTAAAAATTTTGTGATTTTGAGGTTGAATTTTATGTGGCATAAGTGTACTGAAAGTGATGTTTAATAATAAAGTTAAAAAGGGAAGAAATGTGTTATCAAGTTAGTCTAAGAGTCTAATTGGTGGTAAACTGGGATCTCAGTGAAAGTATAAAAAGAACCTTAACAAAAAACTCTCTGGTGAGATTTTCAAGTCCGAAATCTCTCATCATTTCTTCTTCTTCTTCTTCTTTTATTTTTTTATTTTTCTGCTTACAATAAAGCAAGTTGAAAAGCTGTTTCAAAGCTGATGAATTGTTAAATTATAATTTTCATTTGAACTGTACCGACGTGCCAAACTTGTGATTTAACCACAATCCCACCAAACTGGTTTTTGACATATATCATTTAATTTTCTCTCATTCCTAAAATTTCTTAGGATTTTTATCAGTTTGACTTTAATAACTCATTATTTTCTCCATAAACTACAACTGCCAGTGTCTGAAATCATTCACCTTTCTTTTGGATATTCATTTTAAAAAAATTTCAATTACTACTGCTATGCCTATGGAAGTAGATGTATCTGAAAATGCCATGATTCTGTTTTCCAGTGAGCATCAAGTGCAGTTAAAGTTTGTGTGTGTGTGTGTGTGTGTGTGTGTGTGTGTGTGTGTGTGTGTGTGTGAGTGTGAGTGTGAGTGTGAGTGTGAGATTGAGAGTGTGAGTGAGAGTGAGAGTGAGAGTGAGTGTGAGAGTGAGAGTGAGAGTGAGTGAGTGAGTGAGTGAGTGACATTTTTAAAAACTTTAATTAAATATTACTTTTTTTTTTTTTTTCTCTGTTAGAAAAACTTTTCATACTTTTTACTGTTTAAAAATTAATTTTGTTCCTAAAAACTCTTGATTTTTTAGATAGCAGGTTTGTACATCTGCTATAAAATGTACTCTACTAAAATCTAATCTTCACTATTAACTCCCTGTATCTTGTAGTAGTAGGAAGTGTTTCTGTTAATTGTCTATTCTTTTAACTATCACAACTGTGATCTCAAAATCATTGGATGATCCACAATATAATGGCACTTGTGCTATGATACTGATTAACAAAGCATAACTGTCAGTTTGAAGGTTTAGTATGTATCAGTAGTGAGTAAAATTTTATATAAAAAAAAGAATTATAGTGCAATTCTTTCCTAAAGAAAACGATTGATAGGAAAATTTTGAAAGTATAATGCTGATTTTTGTTGTTTGACTTCTGAATTAGTATTTGTTCCGCGTGTTATTGTACGAGGGCTATCCAGAAAGTAGATTACGTTTTGGAATAAAAAAAATAAACAAGTATAGGAAACAAATTTTATTATATACAGATGAAGCCACACTCAAATACTACTTTTCTACATAGTCACCATACAAATTAAGGCATTTATCGTAGCGATGTACGAGCTTGGAAATTCCTTATCGTCGAAAAATTCGGGCCGCCTGCGCCTTCAAACCACTTCGTTACCTCTTCTTGCAGCTGTGTGCGTCGTCATCAAAACCGCTGCATAGCCAGCCACTTCTTCATTGCTGGAATAGGTGGAAGTCGCTCGGTGCCAGGTCGGGACTGTACGGCGGATGAGGAAACAACTCCCACTTAAAAGATTCAAGAACTTTTTACGAGTGACATTTGCCGTGTGGTGGGGCCGGCGTTGTCGTGAATCACAAGATCTTAGAGCTCAACATTCCTCTGCGCTTGTTTTGAATTGCTCTTCTGAGTTTTTTGGAGAGTTTGGCAATAACCTTTGAGAGTTTATTGTAGTGCCTCTTTCCAGGAAGTCCACCAAATTACACACCTTTTCTCTTCCCAAAAAACAGTCGCCATCATCTTCCTTGGCCGACATTGTTTTGCATGCATTTCTTGGGTTTTTGGGGAGAACTTGTGTGTCCCCCACTGCATTGATTGCATTTTCGTTTCACAGTTCACATGTTTTCACCCATGTTTCGTCACCAGTAACGATGCGATCGAGTAAGAGTCACCATCCTTATAAGTAAGTGTCCAGAAAGTTCAACGCTGCAGCCATTCGCTGATTTTTGTGGTCCTCTGTCAAGATTTTTGGAATCCATCTTGCACAAAACTTGTGGTAACCAAGCTTTTTCGCTGATGATTTCGTGCAACAAACTTCGCGAAATTTGTGGAAAACTCAAGAAAGTTCCGTTATTGTGAAATTTCGATTTTCAACACGGACTTTAGCATCGATCTTTTTCGAGAAGTTCGGCGGTCACTATGCTGGTCTCCCACTTCGATCTTCGTCGTGAACATTGGTTCGGCCATTTTTGAAATCTTATGACCCACTGACGCACTCCACCTTCAGTGATAATGTTGTCGGCCCATACACTTCACGAAGCTGGCCGATAGATTTCTATCGGTTTCAGTTTTTTTGCAGTCAGAAACCTTATTACTGAGTGCACCTCGCAGCTCGCGGGATTTTCAATTAACGCAGACATTTCAAAAAACCGTCACAGTATCTGAACGGAGCACAGCACGGACCTCTCTCACTAGCACGCTAGATGCAGACTGAGCTGCGCAACGCTCTGACCCCAAGATGGCCGCGCTAGCCCCGCCCCTAGCGGACACAGACGGAAACGTAATCTACTTCCTGGATGGCCCTCGTATCTTAATTGTTCATCATTTTTTCAGGATTGTCAGTGGTACACCTGATACGTCAGAAAAACCTTCACAGTCAGAGTGAGTAATATTGTTTTTCTACTTTTTATATTTTAGAAAGAAAGTAATATTTCCATTTGCTTATTTTACATTTTTATCTTCTTTCTTCTTGTAAGTTGCTTGTGTACAAATTAAAATAACAAAATTTTCTTATCATATGGCAATTGTTTTTATTTCTTCTCGGGTGCTGTTAGGCAAGACTGAATTCAAAATTTGTAAAACGTCTAAAGCAGTTCTTTTACAGATTTCTAATGAAATAGTTAATATTTATTACTTCTCAGGTTTTCTTTTCTCTAAGGTTGAGTAAAATAAGTCGAATTTTAATCATAAATTTGAAGTTAAATTTTTGTAAATAGTTGTGTTTCCATGAAATAAGAAACTTTATTTCTAGCAATGAGTTACCGACATTATACTATCCAACATTGATAATGCAGCACTAAGGAGTGGCCAGAAAGTGATGAACCTCGGCAAACAGAGAAAGACAGCCACGCACAATAAATGATCTTTATTTTGTAATGATATGCATAATACAGAGCGAAAACAGTGTCAGCTCAGTAGGTTGTAGGACCGCATTGGATGGCGATACACAAAGCAACACATCTAGGTACAAAGTCAGTCAGACTGCAGTTGGTGAACTGAGGAATGGCTCTTCATTCCCTGTCAACCATTTGTCCCAGTTCATCTTCTGAATGTGATAGTGGCAGGGTCTGCAAATGGCATCCAATGACATCCAAAAAATATGTTAACAACAGATCAAGAGATAGCAGTTGCCAGGGAAGCATCTGTAAACATTGCAGAATAACTTGTTGGCTGATGCGAGCAGTGTGTGGTCGGGCATTATCCTGCTGATAAAGGGCATTGGGCACTTCCTGAAGGTAGGGGAGCATCACTGGCTGCAGCACATCATCCACATATCATTGGGCCATTATAGTGCCCTTGAATACGAACTTAAAGGTAACCTGGAATCGTTTGCAATTGCACCTCAAACCATGGTGAGGCATTCCTCAATTGCTGCTAAATTCGACCTGTCTCCACACTCATATGCCACGACTATCAGTGGAAAATCAGAAACATGACTCATCTCAGAACACAACCCTGTGCCATTCTGTTGTCCACATATCTGGAGCCCAGCACCATTTCAGACTTTGCTGTGTGTGATGTGGGGTCAATGGCAGTCTTCTTAATGGATGCCACGACAGCAGGCCACTAGCCAACAATTGACGACAAATGGTTCTGGTCGATATGGGAACATCTAGGGTGTTTTGAACATGCTGTAGAATGGAGGTAGAAGTGGCTTGTGGGTGCACCTTCACTTGTTGACAGATGCATCTATCCACGTGTGCTGACGTCATTCTGGCTGCACCGACACCCCTCAAACTTGCCACATTTATTGTTCCAACCATCACCACCATAGCCAGTGCACTGTGGACACATCAAAGTGTGTGTCAGCTGAAATTTGCTGTATAGACCAAACTGCCCTTCTCAGTCTGATCACCATGCCCCTCGTAAAATCGTTTGCCTGCTTGAACGGCCTCCGTTTTGACGACCTAGCATTCTCTGCTATTTATTACAGCACCTTCTGAGGTCTTGAATCCCTATATGCATGCACCAAAAAGGGAGAAAAGGGAGGGAAGAAAAATTTAACTGTACCAAAAGTTTGATGGAAAATTAAACTGCTGTTCTGCATATTGTAAGAAAGACATTAAAACAGAATTGACATCACCTTCATCATATTTGTTTAGTCCCCTTTTTAGGAAAGGAGCATGCTATAACTATCCATATAGCAATTCGTAGAATAGAGGAAGAACAAAAGACTTGTATACAGTTTGCAATTTGTTTCACATTAATGTTCACATGTTTATTGACAGATTTTTAATATCTAAAGTAGATTTCAAGGATATATTCCGTAAATTTTTTTAAATCAAATTAATGTTCTGTTGGGATTGAAAAGTATGCAAGTACTTTTGTTTGCATTAATGAATAATATATTTATATAATTAAAACATTCATCAAAAGGATTCTAAGTGGTTATCTTATCAGTTTCGAATGTTAATATTTTATTGTTTCTTCTGTTGTATGAAAGTAGGTTCAGTTCTGTTATTGGGACCTTAAAAAAAAATTGCCGAACTATTACTGATACGAATGATGCCAAAAATAAGTAACAAAAGTAATCCTAGCAAAAGGATGGAAGTATAACAGTAAATAATTATCTAAGAATGTTATTTTAATTATTAAATTTTGTATACAGTACAAAGTCTGTAATCCAGACGTTCATTATCCGGAATGATCTATAATCCGGACCTCAAAGCCACAAACTTTTTTTTTTGTATGCTTTACTCATGCACGTTATACGTTTACGCATGCACATAATGCATTTACGTATGTGCATTTAATGTTATTCATGCATATTTAATGTTATTCATGTGCGTTTAATGTTTATGCATCCGCGTTTAGCACAAAAAACAAAGTAACTTAAACAACTTACATTGAAAGAAATGTTTAATAAAGTAATGAAATAAATATTAAACTTTTTTTTGTAAATTTTGGTACCCTTTAGATCATAATTGCTCTTTATTTCATAAATTACGGTTTCATATTTTTAATTGTATAATTTCTGCATGCCATCTTACCATATTTAAATTGATGATCTATAATCTGGAAAAACCCTTAATCCGGAATCGCCGAAGTCCCGACGAGTCCGGATTATGGACTTTGTACTGTATTACACTTTTGTACTATAATCCATTAAAAAGGGCTAAACATTACTGAAAATTAAAATGGAGGCATAAAATTTTTTGTCTTTGCAGCATTGCAGAGAAAATTTCAGATTTTGTGTAAATGTCTGCACATAAATTTGGTCAAATAAGAATCGAAGCGCTGTTGAGCAGTGCACATAATAAATACCAATGGCATTTGTTATACCAATTAGCATTACCGTGCAGCAGCTCTATTTATGTCTACATGTCCTCTTGGGGTCCATAAAATTATATACGGTAACGTGTTCGAACCTGACATCTTGCAATTCATCTGACTTATATGCTTTTCAACAATTGGTAGGAATAATGCTTCCCTTTGTAACATTTTTCTTTATGACATTAAAAGTTTTTACCAATCAGTTTGGAATAACAACTAAAAAACATTCATTTGAATCTCTGCACAATGTGCTGAAAACTTATTGTGTCAGAAGAACACACCCAGCATTATTTTTTCTTCAAGTTTTGTTCTTTTCTTTCTTCATATTTCTTTATTCAAGTCAAAAGGCTTTCATCTACTTCAATAATTTTTTTCACATCTGCAGATTTTCAACTTAGATCGAACAATTAAAGTTGTGGCACTCACCTCATAAATGTAACAATTTCAGTCCACAGTTGTATTGTGGTTCATCTTTAGGTGAAGTTCAGAAAATTCAATAGATGTCATCTCTTAACATCAAAAATAGGCAAAGAATGTAATTTTTTATCTTTCGAACCAATTTTGAGTTCTTAAATCTTTCTTCTGATTACAGGAGCCTTGTATATAGTTTTCCTTCGTTGTTGAGTTATCGATAAAATGCAGTTTCATCTCAAGGTTCTTTTCTGTCATGAATGATGCCTTTTCATTGAAAAAAGTTCTATTTCTGATTTTGGCAGCAACCAAATTATGTATTATGTTATTAGAAAAGAATTGACAAATTGAACCAATACTTCACTGGTAATTTAAAAATATGGAATTATCTAAATTTATGTGTGATTAAATGGGCACGTTTGCTAGTTTTGGCATTTTTACGCATGTACGATTTCGATAGCAGAATTATATCAAAATATCTGTCATAATGAATTTAAACTAATCGTTTCATAGAAAGGTATTAATGACAAGAATGCACTGTTATTTTTTCCTATAAGTAGGTTATAGCATTAATAAAGCATAATGGCTACTATTTAATTAATTTTGTTTTGAAAATGACACAATATATTTACTTACAAAAATCAATGCTACTGTATTTAAAATTCATTATATTTTCAGGATTATCAGTGATGTTCTTAATACTACTGAAAAATCTCTGCAGTCAGAGTGAGTATAATTTACTTTCTCACTTTTACTGTCTCCGAGCATTTGACAGCAAGTTTGTTTAAAAAATTTTTTATAGAAATTTTTGCTGTGTAATTTTATCCAGTCTCTCTGTTAAAAGCTTTTTAACTTTTTGGGGAGGGGCTGAGAAATAGACTAAGACAATTCTTGCATACATTTTGATAAGTAAAATTAGTCAATAAATTTTTGGGTACTTGCATATTATCTCGTCGACTGTGAAACTTGGCTATCATCAAATTATGAAATTTGATAGACATCACTTAAAAATTGTACCAATCATTCCTCCGGAGTTCTAAAGTAGCTGATGCCTCTTTATTTAATAAATAATCAGTATTTGACCCACTTCACTTTTCTGCTGCATTTCTATTGATTTTCTACTCTTTTGTCATACCTCTGATTTTTATCGGGAGCTCTGTTTAGCATGTTAGCTACGAGGTCAAACGTCCCACAGATGTTGTTCCATTCATTTGTTGGCCATATGCAGCTGAGAATATCGTGCCCATCATTTCACTCTTTTTTGGTGGTAGGATCCTGTAAGCTTGAATCCTGAAGTTCATGCTTATCCATCAAACATGGATAGAAGCCAATGCCCCTTGAAAAGCCCTGCACAAAGGCATCCTTTTCCTTAGGGAAATAGTTCTTGTATGCTTTGCCATAATCAAATAAACTACACCATAACTGCTTATGAATCATGCTACTTGGAGACAGTTTCACAATTGACGGGATAATGCATAAGTACCAATTTTTGCAATATCTGATTTGTATGAGAAACTGCTTTTAAAAAAGAATTGTATGAATATATTGGGAATACAGATAAGTCTCTGCCATTTAACAACGAATGGCATCATCAGTAAGTTAATGGTTAAAACTGTCCGATATACTATAGTCTTATCTGATAAATGCTCAGTTTAAAAAAAGTATCATTATTGACTAGTATTATTCATATTATTATTCAAAATAGAGATCTATGCAGACTTCACTGGTCTTTTAGTAGTATTTTGTAGAAATAATGTTTTAAATATTTCTTTTAAGTAACATTTATTATTTATCTTTAGACCCATTTCTTCTGCTGTGTCACCTGAAAGATGCAAAGCAATTAATGAAAATGACTGTGATGTGGATAATAGGCTGTTATCTACAGTTGAAACTTCAGGATTGGCTCAAAGGACAGCCAAAAATTCTACTGTAAATAACTCTGTCAGTATTCCTCAGAAAAATAAAACTCCTGCAAACAGATCTTCAAATACTGAAATTTTAAAAAAGGTTAATGAAGAGAGTTCAGAGAATAGGTAACTTAAGCAAATGAAAAATATTTTTTTAATATAATTTTGCTATGACAATTGGGTTTATTTTATTTTACAAATCTGGAAAAAAAATTTTCTTTTTTGACTGTACAGTATTTTTTAAAATAAATAATGTAAAAAATAGAATTCCTCATCTTCCATATAATCAAACCTCTAAAAAAGACTTCTTTCTTGCTAATACTTTAAATGCCACACAAATTCTCAACCACTGAAGAATTCCCCTTTGGAGAGGAATTTCACTGTTTTGGGAGAAATGCAGTCAGACTTTATTTACCTGTTAAGTGATTAGTTTCAGTTTATGAATATAAAATGCATTTTTATTCACGTTTCAGTATTTATCAACATTTTCTATACTTGCTTAATTTATGAAACACATTAAAAATTAATGTAAATTTAAATAAAAATGTATATGTATTTTTCAAGTTAGAAAAAGGGGGGATGATAGTCTACCAATGATGAAAGAGATGCTTGGGACCAAAAAGATTGATAACCACTGCATTATGCACTAGCAACATCTGAGCTTTTTCCAAAATTCAATCCCATGCCAACAATATGGCAACCAGCAGTATTACACACTATACCAATCAGGCCCACAGCAACCGAGCGGTAATATCACTGAACACTGGTAGTTCAGTCCGTGGTTAACCGATTTTGAGTGAATTGCCATAAGATTTTGAATATACTTTTGTAATTAATCTATAATTTTGAGCAATACAGATAGAGTCATTTAAATGTAATAAATGCATTTCTTAATAATTTAGATCTATAGTATTTTTAATAATGTATTTAATTGATGCAAATTAAAATATACTGCTCATCATTGTAATTACTGAAAGACATTTTTAATGCTATAATTTTAGGCAGTACAAAATTGTGTGGAGATTTTCTCTTGCCTAATTTTAAGTAATTAAATAAGCATTTGAATTTTAACATGTAGAAGTAGAAGGGTGGCGTTACCAAAATTTCAGTATTGGTTATACAGGTTAGTTCCACCCCAATTTTGACGGAGAACAAACCCCATGGGAGGTTCCAAAGGTCTCCCACTCATCTTCATCTACCCCCAACCTCTCAAGAGAATTTTAGCTGGCCATGTATTTTGAGTACTTCTTTGCCACATAGACACTGTATGTTTACAAACAACCATGCCTTCTTCAGGGGTTAATTTTAACAAAAAGTGAGAAAACTGCAAATCTATATTCATTTTATTTGTGTGTACTTCACATGTTTGATTCATGGCAAACTGTTTCTAGTTTCACAACAACATAAAATTGATAAAATGTGATCTTACAAATTTTTCTTGCATTAGTTTTTAATACTATAATTTTATTTTTAGATTTTAAAAATGTATGTGCAAAATAAACCAAAATTAATGCAAGAAACTAAATTTTTACTGGACGTCTTTATGTTAGCAAACAAGAAGCTAATATTATTTATTTTGAAGAAATTTCATAATAGAATAATTTTAGATACCTGTTTTTTTGCTGTAGATTTATTTAACATGATGAAGTAAAAGTTATTTCACAATCCTCAAACACTAAAACTCCTTGCAATAATTTCATTATTCTTTTTATTCATATAGCACTTTCTTAGCAAGCATGCACATTCTTTATTTTTATGTATGTTTAATTAATTTTTTTCACTCTGTATATTATGTACAATTTTAGATATCTCTCAGTAGAAAAGGAATGTGTACCAGTTGTTGCTTCATCTGAAAATCGTATTGTAAAATATCCTCATTTGACTAGTATCTTGAATTCCCCAAAGAAAAGACCTGAAAATAAAGAAGTATGCTATTTTGATATATTTTGCAAGGCATCTATACTTTTCTTTATACTATTTATACTTTGAGAAGCCAAAAATCATGGACTAGGTACCTAATAATATATTGCTGCTTCCAGAGCACTCAGGAAGGCAGCACTTTGTTGGATCATGGAGTGAGTAAGGTGATGTTATTTTTGAAGATACAGCCATTTGTAAAATCTGCAGTAAAAATTCATTAAATTTGTGCTAAAACTGCATTGCATTAGATGATGCTGAATAAATGGATTGTGCCTCCTGTTTATTTGAAAATACTTCAAGAAGCCTATATTATAGGAGAAGGAAAGCAAATCATGATATTAGTTGCCCATTAGTGTGGGTGAAAAGATTGGTTAGGGCTGGATATTCAGTCTAAGTTCAGATCTTAAGGAATATGCTGGCTGCATGGAAGTTCCCATAGTTTTACCTGTGTGTTATCTAAATATGAGCCAATTTTTCTTTAAAATATCCTTCAGAAAGCTAACCCTCCTCTTAAGTTGCTCTTAGGTTGCTCTTACCATGCTTGCTTTCCCATTCTGCAGATAATTTAATCCATGATATTAGTAAATTGTTCCTCAGTCTGCCTCATGGTAATTAAAGACTAATGAAACAATACACTACCATGTTAAAATGTTCTTCCACCAACTGCCTTCTCAAAATGTAGAGATGCAATAATTGCCCCTGAATTGGGTGTTGTTAGCAGTTGCTTCATATAAATGTGCCTATACTCCCGTACAGCTGCCTCCAACCTGAAGAACACTTCAGATGATAGGAAGATTCCATTGTGATACCTACCATGTACTGTAGTTCACTTCTGAATGCAAAACATTTGAAACCTTAATTTATTGATGCAAATTACGCTCACCACTATACAAACAAATCTTGAATTCTGTGGTAATGTATAAGCATTGGAATAAGAGAGTATCTGAGCAGCAAAGTTGATCATGACAGATAGTTCTGAGAAAATTTCCTGTTTAGCCAGCGCTAAAATTTTCTGTTTAATTTGTTCATCATCTTTTGTAACAGGTATCAAAAGTGTTTTTGATACATATATGTGGCCAGCCTCTTTTTGATATATGTGTGTAGAAATGCCATGTATACAATATTTACTATTTCTGTGACTTTTAGCTTCTCACTGCATTTTTGATTATTTGGATTTCACTGGAATACTGTTTCATTTCCTTAGCTTTATGAAAATTCATAAAGCGTCTTTTCTTAGGTTCTTAAAAAGAAACGAAAGTATGCTTACGCAATACCAAAAAAAGGAGCAACACCTCCTGAAAGAAGCAAAATGACCATGATGGACCTAATATATTATAATCCATCATCATCTCCGATGCAGTATGTATTTTTATAAGAGTAAATAGCATTTTTTTAATATTTCAGTTTCTTGTATTGATATCTTACATTTTTGTATATAGGGGCAGAAAAACAGATGATACTTCTGTTTCTAATTCTCGTCAAGATGAATTGTAAGTATTGCATTGTCAAATCATGGTAAAAAGTTTTTAATATCGTAAATTTTAATTTTTTTTCTGTACCATTTTTTGGCTATACAGTTTTTAGTTAGAAGAAAATTGTCTAATTTTTTTGCTCTGACACTAGAATGTAATTAAATATAATTCATAAGTAAAATGGTCAAAAGAGTTTATAACATCATCTGCATAACAATTGTGTATGTTCTGTGAGTAATTTAACAAGTATTGTAATTAATGCAATTACAAAATGCAGAATTGAAGAGTCAAACTGCGCTGAAGACAATGGTGAAAGTTCTGTACAGGAGACTATAGTACATTCTACCCCCCTTCTTATCTTAGATGAGAATGGGGAAATTGACATTGAGAAAAGCTCTCTGACAGTTCAGAGGAGTATTCCTGAGACGTTATCAACTGAAACTGTAAGGGATGACGATACAACTTATTCATCATTTAGAAGACGTCATTCAACTTGGAGTATTCAAGGTACTTTTAACATTATTTGTGAATTGCAGTTTTCATGTATATGTATATTCATTTATTTCCAATGCTGCATGCAGCCTTGATGGACTGCATATTGAACTGCAGGGGTCCAGGCCACGGGTGGCCTGCTGAAGGTATTTTAGTGGCCCCATATTTGAATTTGAAGAAAAATTGAAGAATTTTAAGAAATTTTGATTTCAAGAAAAATTGCCTTGTCAGCTTTTTGTTGTAAAAAAAAAACTTTTTTTTTCTCTCTTATTCTTGATGTATAAAACATTTTAATGACATGCCTGATATTATTTGAGATGAAAATTTTTTGAAAATAACTAACTTTTCAAAAATTTCACTTTGTCTTATGTAATATGTATTCCACCTGAACATCAATTAGAATTTATAGATTTACAGTGTTACTCTGCAGTAAAATGCAAGTTTCTTGAAAATCCTATATTAATTTTTTTAATTCGAAGTCGTAACTGAAAACAAGTATCCAGGAATTTGTATACATGCACTCTTTATGTCTTCTATCTTTGGCAGTACTTACATTCGTGAACAGTCTTTTTGTAAAATGAAAATCCTAAAATCAAAAACAAGAACACGGCTGACAGATAGACATTTGGAGGAAACTTTGCGAATTACAGCACAGATTAAACCGAATACTGAAGCTATAATCAAGCAAAAACAATGTCAAATTTCACATTAAAACTAATTACCATCTTCTGCCAGTAATACAAGTTTTTTTTTCCCTAATTACAAATGCATTTTGTAACATCGTTCTGTACCATCATCTTTACACTTTTATTTCCATAGTTAAAAAAAAGTTTTAAAACATTTTAATTCGATTTTCGTTTGAATTTTTGGAACCAATGTGCATATATATATATAAATCTGTAACACTATCTCTTCGTTGAGACACAATAACACGCCGAATAAATACTAAATTAGAAGTCAAATAACAAAAATCAGCGTTATTTTCAAAATTTTTGCAGGACTAGTTTCGATGGTATTTACTGAACCACCATCCTCAGTTGCAAAACCGCAAATGAGCGAGATAGGAATTGATGACTAGATAAGATAATCCATTTTGACCGCTATCGAATGCGGTTTAATGATGTTTTTGCGTGATATTTGTACGTAAGGACAGAATAAAATATTCTTTTCCTCCAAAAAAATTATAAAACTACATTAAAATGAATTCTGAAGAGAATTTTTTGTGGCGTCTGTATGAACATATGTACGTATCTTGCATAACTCAAAAACGAGTAGCCTCAGAACGTGGAAATTTTGTATATAAGACTGCTATAACATGTAGATGTGCACCTCATATTTTGGTTGCAATCGGTCGCACCAAACGTATATAAATATATTTTTATATATATATATCTACTCTGTTACCCGGCTCGATGATCTTGGTTTCTTTACTTTTATATGTTTGTAAATTGTACATTTTTTACTTTAAAAATGATTGAATTATGTTGTTCTTGTCTTCCGGTTAAGGTTTTTATGCCTTTAGTAAATCTGTATGCAATATTTTTAGAATTATCAACAATTTTAAAGTTGTTTAAGTGCCGCTAAGCCTTTTTTTTTATGGCGGCCATTGATTGTTTACATTTGAAACAGCAGACTAGTGGATTTGTTGCCAATCTAGAGAAACTTAGCTTTGCAACAACAAAGATAATGCCTTCATTTATTATTGCGAATTAAATCATGCTTAATCCTTTCTGGAATTTTTTCGAGGAAATAAGTGTTTCAGATTTACCTCGTAATTTTTAATACAGATATTTTGAGTTTCTATGTATTTTTGCCTTGTCACGAAGTGAGAACTGAATTAATTGAATGAGAAATACTCATCGTCTGTGAAAAACTGTTTGTTTTTTGTTTTGTTTGCTTAATTTCTTTTATACATTGTTCTAGCTTTATTATATTATTTGAATAGAACTTATGGCAATGATTAGATAATTCTTTGAATGATATAAATTTTATGCATTCTGAGTTATAATATGAACAAAATGTAATACTGTTAAGTGAATCTAGCGCCAAACTGTCGCTATGGTAAACAAATACAGTGAATTTTAAAGAATGCATTTATTCTATTGTGGTTTATGCGCTGTCGGTAAAGTAGATTTAATTCAATCCAATAAGTTTAAATGAAATGCAAGAAAAAATGCGTATAATTTAATATTGTGTATAAGGACGTCATGTGGTGTACACATCAGATTTTTTAGATAAAATTTTCTGACTATACTATTTTTTTGACAGACTTGTGAACCAAAGAACTTTGTGAATTTACTAATGTGGCCCTCGGCTGTGAAAGGTTGAAGACCCATCCTTAAGGAATAACATCTTTAAGCCCACATGTAATTTATTTAAATAATTACTACTTTTCCATTTTGCCGGCGCAAATCTTACCAAGCAGAATTTATTGGCGACAACACACAATATACACATAAAAAATGTTGGCAAATGTTAGTTCTAAGAATTTTTTATTTACAAGGTATAATTTTAATGTCATTTAAAATTTTGTAAAAAAGCCAATAAATTTGTAAAAAGACATTAATTTAAGAATTTACTATGCTTTCATGGTACAACATCATGATTTGCCGCTTCATATCAAGTGACCCCCAAGTGATCTCATCTCACGTAAACTAAGCTACAAAAATCTAATTCTGTCAGTAATTTTCTACAGTAATTTCAATTTAATTCTTAATTTGGAATTCAAGTTTAAATGCAAGAATTATTTCAATTCGTATGAATAGCTTACTCAGAAATTATGTAGCACAGCACTTTACTTCACTAGTGCCTTCTCTTTAGAATTGATGAATTTAACCCTTTACTTTGTTTTTTCTATCTTTTAGCCATCGGGTGAGCGGTGTGATTGCATCTTAATTCACTTAATTAACGCCTGCGAATGGCCTTAGGGCATAAAATTTAACTCTCTGGTAAATATTCTATGTAATTGTATGCCGGTATTGAAAGAAACAATCAAGCTGTTAAGAACTGGCTACAACTTGTTTTGAAATTGAGGAGTAAAAGTTTACCAGCGAGGATATTCCGTTTGGCATCACTTGTACCATTATTGGCGACTTTATCGCCTGCTTCGGCAAAACGGAAAAGTACCAAATAATATTGCTTCATTCATTGTGTAAATTACATTAATGCCAAAATACAAAACTGACTGATATTCTGAAACACCTCTTGCATTTTTAAATGTCTTTTAGAAGAAAGAGATAAATCTTGCATATAAGATAGCCTCTTGTAATCGAAAAAATTAATGATCTTTATTTCATGTTTAAATTAAAACCAAATAATTGTATTTTCTTTTAATTAGAGTAGGAAATGAATCATGCATTAATATATTTGTTATGTTGTGCATATAAGGAAGCATTCATATATGTTTATTGTCATATAAGTATAATTATTGCAAGCAGAAGTGAATTTATTGGAGCGTGCAGATTACAGTTGTAAGGGTGCCAGTGGTAGCTTTCGTAAAGTAAATGTACTTTTTTTTTTTTTTTTTTTTTTTTTTTGTTTTTGTTTTTGTATTTATTGATGTAGTATGCGTTCTACAGCTCTTAGTTATTTCTTTCTTGCATGGTGTCACTAAAATATTTTTTATATAAAAATGTTTCCGTTCATTAATTTAAAAAAATCTAATGTATACACCACATGATTTCCCTGAACAGAGTATTAAATTATATACACGCGGAAAGCAAAAATACATAAAAACTCAAAATATCTTCATTAAGAATTGAAAGATATAGAAAAACATGAAGGACCAAATACAGTTAAAACAATTAAAAAACAGGTACTTTTCCGTTTTGCCGGCGCAAGCGATAAAGTCGCCAAAAATGGTACAACCAAAGTCAAATGGAATATCCTCAATAGTAACCTTTTACGCTGCCTTTTCAAAACAAGTCACAGCCATTTCTTATCAGATTGTTTCTTTCAATACTGGCATACAATTACATAGCATTTTTACCCAGATAGTTCAATTTTATGCCCGAAGGCCATTCGCGGTAATTAATCAATTAGAATGCAATCACATTGCTTATCTGAAGGCGAAAATATAGAAAATGCAAAGTCGAGGTTTAAATTCATCAGTTCTAATGAGAATACACTAGCGAAGTAAAGCACTGCAGTTTTACATAATTTCTGAATAAGCTATTCGTATAAATTGTAATAATTCATGCATTTAAATTTTTATTCCAAATTAAGATTTAACTTGAAATTAATGTAGATAATTACTGAGAGAATTAGATTTTTGTAGCGTAGTTTATGTGGGATGAGATCACTTGGGAACACATGATATGAAACAGCAAATCAGGATGTTGTACCATGAAAGCATCTAGTAAATTTTTAAATTAATGTCTTTTTACAAATTTATCGGCTTTATTTATTGCATTTTTACAAAATTTTAAATGATATTGAAATGTTTATACCTTCAAAATAAAAATTTTGTAGAACTAACATTTGTTAACATTTTTTATGTGTATACTGTATGTTGTCACCAATAAAGTCTGTTTGGCGAAATTTGCAATGGTGAAACGGAAAAGTACTAAAACACAATTTTTCCAATTAAAATTACAGCTTCTATGCAAAAACAAGCAATTCGGCCAGCAGGCGAGAAGGCAGGTTTTTCAGTGCGCAAAACTGAAAGTTTTATTTTGGTCCCACTTGGGAAAAATACACTGAAGGTGCAGAAACTGAATTCACTATTCTACTAAGTTTCAAATGTAAGCAAATCTGTCTGCTATGTTAAAAATTTAGGTTTAGCTGCACTTAAACAACTTTTAAATTGTTGATAATTCTACAACTGATGCATGCATATTAATTAAAGGCATAAAAATCTTAACTGGAAGATAAGAACAATACAATTCATTTTTAAGCAAAAAATGCACAATTTACCAACATATAAGATTTAAAAAAATGAGCTCACTGAGCCAAGTAACAGAATGGATATATATTTATATACTTCTGGTGCGACCGATTGCAACCAAAAAGGAAGGTGCACAACTGCATGTTAAAGCAGTCATATACAAAATGTCAATGTTCTGAGGCTACTTGTTTTTGAGGTATGTGAGATATGTCCGTATGCCGTGGAGAAATCTCTTTTGAATCCATTTTAAATCAGTTTTATAATTCATTTGGCGAAAAAGACTCCTTTATTGTGCCCTTAAGTACAGATGGCATGCAAAAACATCGTTAAATTGCATTCAATAGTGGTCAAAATGTTTATTTTCATTACCGAACTTTTTGTGATTACAATACTCATTTTACTTCGTACAGGGAAGTTAAAAATATTAATTTTTTTGTCCCATTAAATTTAAATTGCCTCCAATTTTACAAAACAATAGCAGGAGGGGTCATTGAAAGGCGTGCTTTTATGAGTCTCTAAGCCATATACACTATGAATGTCATGCAGTATGACCAAAAAATAGTAATCTTTTATAAACAAATTTCCACCATGTTTCTGGGAGACAACGCGGAAGCATTTGTGGTATGGTACTCCGCATGCACTGTTCCTTTAGTTTCAGAATCCTGTAACACAATTCAGTAGTTTGGGGATTACTACTGTCTGTAGGATTGACGAAGTTCTTTTTGTGGTTACAGTTTGAGGATCGCAAAAATGATAGCTTGCTTTTTACAACAATACCTTCTCTGCTATGATGAGAGCCCATCCCCCAAAAATTCAGTTGAGATGTGTTCTCTTTTTTTAGTCCAAAGGGGCAGTTTGCCCAGAAGGACTATTAATTTTATTTTGGCATTTTGCATTGGTTCACTATAAATGTCAGCTCATTTCTCAAATTGTTGTCACCAGATATTATTGCCCTGTGTTATATTTAAAGAAATTAAATTATGAAGAGTCTGTATAAATGTATGTATGTTTCTCGCATTGTGATAAACCAGCGGTACGTAGAGCCATCAAATTTTGAGTAATATTATCTTCCACCAAATATATGGGCATTTGGAAGCCCTAATTTGGAATTTAAAATTTGTTTTACTATAGATTTTATATTTTGTAACACTTTAACAAACTCAACGATTTCAAAGTGAGCAATGGCAACACTGTACTGGGGGGGTACATTTTTATCTCCAATGCACGAGACTGTGTATTAGAAATTTTAAAGATATGCTCTTTTCAAGTTATTTTGCGATATTCATGTTGATTTGAATTTTATGGTTTAAGTGTGAAGAACATGATATTTAATCAATAATGTTAACGTACAATACATTTAAAAAAATGCTCCTTTGAACATAATATAAAACCTGAAAGCTTTCAGTTTTTTTTTTTTTTTTCTTTTTTTCCCTTTTTAAAATTCTCCACTGATTTCGAGCAACATGAGCAGAACTTCTGTACTAGGCAGCACAGAAATGCACTTCAAATGTGATAAAGGTATTTAGCTCAGAAAGGAATACTGAAATGTGTCATGTCATGTCTATGACATTTGTCATTTGGCAATCAATGTTAGATGTGTTACCATTAACAGAGTAACTTAAAAACGCATAGTAGTAGCAATTTTTTTTTTTCACTGCAAGTGGACACAGAATTGGTAAATTTTGCTTGCAGTGTGCATTTACTAGTACATGCATGTAGGTACAAAAAAAACAACAAAGGGTATGATTGCAACTAGGGAGCAAGCATTTATTGGTAGTTTATCACTGGATCATGGTACCAGCTGATTGTTCTGCTTGAGATCATCTTATTTTTGTCTAATATGTGGATCTGATTCATAGAAAAAATAATCAAAATCATATGACTGTTTTAATATCGTATATTAAATTTCAATACTTTTCCGTTTCAACGGCACAAATCTTGCCAAGCAGACTTTATTGGCGACAACATACGGTATACACATAAAAAAACGCTAACAAATGTTAGTTCTAAGAATTTTTTATTTTCAAGGTACAGTCAAAAGTCGTTAATCCGGACTCGTCGGGACTTCGGCAATTCCGGATTATCGATTTTTCCGGATTATAGATCATCAGTTTAAATCTGGTAAAATGGCATGCAGAAATTATAAAAGTAAAAATATGAAACTGTAATTTACAAAATAAAGAACAATTATGATCTAAAGGGTATCAAAATTTACAAAAAAAGCTTAATATTTATTTGTTTACTTTATTAAACATTTCTTTCAATGTAAGTTGTTTCAGTTGCTTTGTTTCTTATGTGATAATACATTTTCTTTAATTCTATAAACAGATATAATTTCTTGTTCAGTTACAAAGTTCCGCTGTTCAAGTCCTATAATTGCTGTGTCGAGAATACCGACTAATTTGTCAATCGAAATTTTTTCGTTTTCAATAACCTATGTCACTTTCTTCGCTATCGGAAGCGAATTATAATGACGAGGCATTTGATTTAAATCATATCAAAGACAGAGTACATCGAGATGAAATACTACATTGAGTAAGCAATTACAAGCCAAATAAAATAAAAACATCTGCCCTTAAGATAAGGGTAGTGCTGACAAATCAACTTCCAATTCATTGCATGCCACCGCAGCGTTAAAGATAAATAAAGTTTAGATAAACAAACGTTAAAGTTTAGATAAACAAAGAATATGCCTTTATCCATTTTTTGCAGCAATTCCATTTTTTGTTTAATGGACTCCGAAAGATACTTTCGCTTTGTATATCCTTTACATATTAGTAAATATATATCGGAAATTCTATTTGACATAATCGAAAGTTCAAGCTTACTTTTATAAAATTGCTCTAACAGTCTGGAAAAAATAATAATCCGGATCCAATTTGAAGATTAAGGAACAACGCAATCTGCAACATTAACTGAAATAGATAATTAAATAATTTTAGCTTAGCTTATCCCGTCCATTATACATTAAACACGCATTCGTAAACGTATTTTGTGCACGCGCACATGCAAATTCGCAGCGGTAAAGGTATTACGTGCATGCGCAGAAAGTTTGTAGCTTTGAGGTCCGGATTATAGATCATTCCGGATTATGGGTGTCCGAATTAACGACTTTTGACTGTATAATTTTAATGTTGTTTAAAATTTTGTAAAAAAGACATTAATTTAAGAATTTAAAATGCTTTCATGGTACAACATCATGATTCGCCGGTTCATATCACGTGACCCCAAGTGATCTCATCTCACGTAAACTAAGCTACAAAAATCTAATTCTGTCAGTAATTATCTACCTTAATTTCAAGTTAAATCTTAATTTGGAATACAAGTTTAAATGCAAGAATCATTTCAATTCATTCGAATAGCTTACTCAGAAATTATGTAGAACCGCAGTGCTTTACTTCGCTAGTGCATTCTCATTAGAACTGATGACCCTTGACTTTGCCTTTTCTATATTTTTGTCTTCAGTTGAGCAGTGTGATTGCATCCTAATTGATTTAATTCTCGCGAATGGCCTTAAAGAATAAAATTGAACTGGTAAAAATTATATGTAATTGTATGCCATTATTGAAAGAAACAATCAATCTGATAAGAAATAGCTGTGGACTTTATCACTTGTGCCGGTAAAACAGAAAAGTACCTAAATTTCATTAGACAAAGCATAAGATTTGTGTATTTTTAGTAAAAATAGTCATCACCTAAAAATCTAGTTTATTAAGTTCATTGATTGCTAAATTGTAATTGTACATCTGTGACTCATTCAAAAGGTATTTAATTGTGCAATCTTTAAAACCTGGTATATATTAGATATATAAAATTAAATTATAATAGTGTAATTTTATTTTTTGATCATTATGACTTGATGATTGAAGCTGAAGAATAAGTTTACAGATTTGTTGAGTATTGCAGAAGATTGAAAGTTTCAAAAATCTGCTAAATCTAATATTTAATAGTGCAATTAAAAGTGTTTATAAATCATATAATCATATTTGTTAAAGTACATCCAACGTAAATTCTAAGTGTAGTTAAGCATTCTTGTAAATTACAGAACTGTTTCCATTGTACACTTGGTTACAAAATAACAAAATTTATTACCATGAATGTAATTAGCAGTCATCTTTCTTTCAGAAACTGCAAAGTTTTATAAAGCTCTCAGTTTAGTTGGGACAGATTTTGGATTGATGGAAAAACTGTTAACTAATCGTACAAGAAGGGAATTAAAGGTTGGCATTTTTTAATTCATCTGTATTATTTCAGAGTTTTGTATATGAACTTTTAGTTTTTAATTTTTATTAAAAATATGTAATCCTGAATGCATTTATATTCCTGATAAAATATAAATGCATTTTATATGCATATTTTGTAATTTTTTGCATTTCTGTTTTGCTATTTAATAATCTGCAATATCATTTTATTCATTCTTAAGTATATTAAAGTACTTTAAAAAAAATAGTATCCATGTCTATCATAACAAATGATCAATCCATGGCTGTATAGCTATGTGAAACATAATTACATAATATAATAAGCAAACTGAAAAAGTGTATTAACAAATATGTTCTAAGAAAATTGTTAGGTACAAGAGATTATAATCAGTGATATCTTCTATTTTATTTCTGTAACTAATAATGTAATAAAGTTCAAGTAATTCTATGCAGTATGGATATTTTATATTTTTATTTTGATTTTGGTTGCATATATTTGTTAAGTTCCAAAATCTGTATTTTTTGTTGTTGTATTTTAGCAAAATATTTTTACAAAAATGTGTTAAAAAGTAAGAAGTTAAAAGGATATTAGCATATTGCCCAAGTCTCATGTATAAACTGATATTTTATAAGAGAAAAAAAAGATTTTATTATATGAGCTTGATATGTTGAAGATGTTTTTGAAGAAACATAATTAAATGTTCTAAACATTTTGCTTTATAAATATATTATCTGTTTACATAAATATTAAGAGATAAGTAAAAAATAGTTAACAGGCTGTTCATTTGTAAGGCTTTGGAGATGAGATTGGTGTTGCCAGACAAATAAGTTTTTTGCAAATTTTCTACTTTGAGCAAACTTGTAGCTCTAAAATTTATGTCTGTGATTTTACAAACTTTCTGCTATTCCATCTCTCCTTGGGCTACTTTAAAATTTTGCTAATGTTTCATAAAATCTGTATATGTTAAAATAATGTACCTATTAAAATTAATTTGTAATAAAAAGTAATAATTTACTTAGGCTGAAATAAATGTTGGCAGCTAATGTATTCATAGCTGTATTAACCATGTTGAATGATTTTCTAAAAATTTAACACCACTTTTCAAAATGCTTGGTGCAAAATGCCCTTGTGTAAAAACTTGTTTGAAACAATAACAGTCAAGACGAAAATTAATTACAAACTAAGAAACCATGAAAGAAAATCAAATTAAAATCATTTTACTTGAAATGCTCAAAGTAATTGAAATTAAAACATAAGTCATCATTTCCTTATAATACTGGATGAATCTATTGATGTGTAATGTTATAAGCATCTGTACGTATGTGTACATTATTATAATGGAAAAACAATAATAAAGTTTTAACACCAGTTTTAAGATTATTAAAGCTGAAGAGATTTAAAAGGTACACCAGATTTCTAAATAGCTACATAAATTTAACAGTGAAACTCTTCTTTTCATTATAGTTGAAATTCAAACGTGAAGAAAAGCAGAACTTAGCCTTGGTGAATAAAGCAATGTGTAAGTCTGATTTAGTTTATTTTTCCTTGCTCGTAATTCTCATGTAAATCCCAAGTATTAATCTTAACTTCTTTTTTCTTAATAGATGAGTCTGAAACATTTGATATTGAAGCTTTAAATGATGATAGTGAAATAGGTAGTGAATTTTTTGAAAGCATCGAAGGAATACAAAATGTCATGGATTGTTCTGCATCAGGTAGCACTTAAAATTAGACAATTATTGTTCTTATTTTATAACACTTGTATCGTGGTATTTAATTTTGGATCAAACTGCATTATCATTGCAATGCAACTTGCATTGTTTTGGCTTTATTAGAGATGAAACATTTTCTCCAGCATGCTTGTAATACATTTTCTGTTTTTTTTTTTTTTTTTTTTTTTTTTTTTTTTTTTTTTCTCTTTAGAGGTTGATACCCCTGATAATTCTCGTTCAAAGCAAAATGAATATATTGATAAAGAAAAAAGTTTATCTACTGTAAATACACCTACTGAAAATAAACAATTACTAACAGATTCATCAGTTGCTGGAGATGAAAAATCAAATGATTCATCAGTTACTGGAGATGAAAATTTAGAAGGTATTATTTTCTTTTGATAAATACTAATAACAGATGGAAAGAAGATGACATTATATGTAGTAATTTCATGTTTCATCTACTGTACTACCTAATTAAGATTAAATTTTTTCATCAATAATTAATGATAAAAATAAGTGATAATCACTTTGTAATAATGTATTGGATTATCCAGAAAATTCTGCAGCTTCTCAAATCAGAGTGCTTTTACTTTTAATTATTTTGTTACTGCTGATAAGGACTATTTTATTATGTGATTATATTTAGTCCATTCTGCTTATGCTGCATAATTCTAGCATGTGTTGAGGTATGATTTTTGTGTGTGTGCAGTGTTAAGAACAAAGAACCCAAAAGTTTATTTTCATCATATTATGCTCTTTTACTTTTAAAAGGGTAAAAATGCTTGTCAGACTGCTCATAAAATTTATACTTTATATGGACAAAGTGCTGTTTTTAATGGCATAATCTTAATGATTTTTTAAAAAAAAGGAATTTTCCAGTTGCCAGAGAGATTTCAAAAAAGTCACAAAACAAAATAGTTCTTATATGTTTAAAGAAAATTGTCTTATGTTTTGTATCATTTATCTTGAAAATTCATTTGAAAGTTTTACTGTGCAGATCTCACTGTTAATGTTAAAGGTAGTTTGAAAAATCTAACCGTGGAAAGATTATGTCTGCCGTGGACAGTCATTCTTTGTATACAAGGACCTATTTAAAGAAGCTATCACAAAAAATCTGCATTTATACAGTTCAGAAACTATCAGACAGATTAAGTACTGAAGAAAGTACAGTACCTGATCATTTGAATGAGAATGCAAGCCACTATAATGTATGGATACCTCATGCTTCAACAGAGCAGAAAATACTCGCGTGAATTTTAGCATTCAGTTCTCTGCTGAAAAAAAAGAAGCCCCTTTGAAGTAAGCCAAAAGAATGTCCTATAATGACATTGAAAATGAAGGCTGTATCCAAAAAAAGTAATGCCTTGTATATGGTGGGACTGCTAAGGGTTGCATACTATGAAATGTTGCAATAAATTCAGAAAAATATGTAGATTCATTAGAAACAGGAGATGTGAAAAATGTGCAATGCCCTAGCCGGGAATCGAACCTATGACCTCTCGAATACATGTTGAGTACGCTTCCAATTACAACATGAAGGCATGCAGAAAGGAGGAAGAAAATACCTTATATACTTTTAAAGGGTGACTGCGGGTTTCAGGGACCCAATCGCCAAATCTTGATGATGATGAATTATCATCCATCACCTTTTACTTCGGGCAGCACTTGTTTCGTCATTAGGTTATTTTTGAAGCTAGAGACATGAAAAATGTGCAGTGCTTTTTCTGGGACTCAAACTGTGGACCTCTTGAATATGCTCTGAGGTTGTTACCGTTACACCATGAAGTCATGCGGGAAGGAGGGAGAAAATACTTCATAAGTACTTTTCCCAAATGCCGATTTTAAGAGTGAAAAATTGTAGCAAAACATCCAGAGCTAACCACTTGTCAAGGTGTTGTCTTCCATCATGACAAAGCTCGGCCGCACATTGCAATTAATGTCAGACAAATGGATGAGTATGGATTGGCATGTTTTGGGTCATCCCCCATGTCCACAAGTCATTTCTTTCCCTATTTTCATTTCTTCAAGTCACTTCAAAATTCTCAGAAGAGCCTGGAGTTCACTTCTTTGGAGACTGGCAAGTAGCAGCTTGATAACTTCTTACAAATGGACTTAATGATTTTTTTAAAAAAAAGGAATTTTCCAGTTGCCAGAGAGATTTCAAAAAAGTCACAAAACAAAATAGTTCTTATATGTTTAAAGAAAATTGTCTTATGTTTTGTATCATTTATCTTGAAAATTCATTTGAAAGTTTTACTGTGCAGATTTCACTGTTAATGTTTTCAGTATAGGGATAAAGTACTCAATTCTTCATATATTATTTTATTTTATGTATTTATTTTTATACATATATATGATTTGTATAATTTATGCATGAATTAAGATAAGAAAATAAGAGTATATAAAATTTTTTGTTATGCAACTAAAATGGAACTTCATCCATATTCACATCTAGACTTAAATCTCTTTAAAAGAAAGTATTAAGTGCTTGCGAAATTTTGTCACATTTAATATGTTTATTTAACCCTTCAAGCATCCTTAACTTTGGTTCCAAAAAATGCAGATTTGCCAAAAATATCATGAAAAAGACATTTTCCTGATATTAATTACAATACGCCCTTGTTATTCCATAGCTGGATTTCTTTTCTTTTAATAAACTTCTCTAATTATTTGAACACATTTTAAGATGCATGTATGTATAACTATATAAAAGTTTCAGTGAAATTATTCTCAAACAAAATGTATATGGTTTGGCCAGCCATTTGGAAAGTTAAGTAATAGAAGAGGGGAATTTACATATCCATTTTTCAAGTTCTTCAATATTTGCAGTGAACCTTTATCTTGAAATTCTTGCAATTCATCACATTTAGATTATTTTGGTTTTCTTCAAGTGATTTATCATTAACATCAGTTTTCACCACTTCATGTAAAAATTGATTGGTACAGTTTTCTTCAATTTTATTTTTGTAGCAATATGTTTTGGTTAACCTCCCCAAAAAAACATGCATTGTCTTAGAGACATGATCTGGTTCAGTTTTTTACTTAGAATAAAAATTTAGTTGCATTGTTTTAGATAGTAGATAAATTTTAAGATCATTAATATATTTTAAAGTATCTTAAAAAAAATGTTGTGTCCTTTTACTTATATGCAGTCTGATAAACATTTATTGTTACTTTATAAAAGTTTAATTTTACTGATATATACTGCAGTTTATGTCTTAATGCATGATAATTATTCTCAAGATATTTTAGGTACCTGCATGGTATTTTATTTATTGAGTATATAGGTATCATTAGTTATGCCAGGATTATATTCATCTGTAAGGAATGTATTTATCATATGTCTTAGATTTTAAAAAGTTATAATTATGAATGAACTGAAATGATCTAATCACTTCAGTTATAAGCATTTAATAAATATTGAATTAAAGCAAGATCCTAACAATATTATCTGAATGAGCTTATTGTAGTGAATTATTTTAGTGTTAGCTGCCTCCAAATATAAATTACTCACGAGTAGGCAACTGTTTATTTAGTCAAGTTGAATGACTTTCTCCTTCTTCACAAACACACTTTCTTTTGCCCACTTGGTAATGGTAAATAAGGGTAATGGAATAAAGAATACTTCAGGCACTAGACATCATGGGAGCTCTTTCAGAAGACAAAACTCATAGTACAAAATCAATATCCAAATCTGTATGATGCACATACTGACACTGTACCAAGCTGGCCATGGATATTAGCATAATTTCTCTTTCATCCTCCACCCAGGATGAAGTTTATCAGAAATAAGTTAAACCATATGGAGTTTAACTAAGATACTACAAACTTTTAAAGTAAAACAATAAAATATGCGTTGGTATACTCAACATTTTGGTTGAAGTCTTCAAAGTGCAATTGCATACTTTTCTATCTTTTCCTGTATAAATATCTTCATAAATACTTCAAATCCCATAATGGTGAGGTTACTTTTTTTTTTTTTTTTTTAGTTAACATGACATCACCCGATTAGAGCTCATGTGCCTTGTTGACATGCATTGTATAATGAGCACCCCTTAGTTGTAGTAAAATATTCCTTGCATCAACTGTGCCAAAAGTTATTCAGCAGACCATGGGAATATACATACTGTTACGAATTTGGCATTTAAATAATTAACGTTAGTTGAATTGTAAGTTAAATGGTTTTATTTCCCACGCAGTGCAGCGCATGACGAATAGTAAAAGAAAGCTAAGCCGTAAAATTGAAAATACAAGAGCGCGTGCATGTAACATTTAATAAATATCCCTTTTTGATTTCGAGAAAGTACTAGAAAATTCTCGCGTGCGATTTTAAAATCTTATAAAAGGAGGAAAACCTTTCAGTTCCTTGTAGTTACTTAGTTTGTTGTTGTTTTCAGCGTTTGTTTAGAAAACTGCTCTTGTAGCGAATTCGCGGATTATCTTTCTTTAGCTGTTTTTAATTAAGTTCTCTTGAACGTTTGAGTAGTTTAAAGATAACTACTGTGAGATATTGTAATACTGCACAAATATTTTAGGAAATTTAAGCATATTTGTTGTAATAATAATAAATTTTTGTTCATTTTTCATCGGACTTGTGCATTCATTTTGTAACGAACCCGTACACATGCAACAATTTTTGGTGTCAGAAGTGGGATTTGAATGCCAATAACAAGAGCGATGGAAGAACAATTCAGGCAAATGAGGCAGAAACCAACCATAAAGTGCTGGAACTGCGGTGTTGTAGGCCACATACGAAGGAACTGCTGAACATCCCAGAGCACAGGAAATAAGAGAGGCGGGTTAAACTGACAATTAAATGCCATGGGACAGAAAAGGATTGACAAGAAACTAAAGTGCTGGAACTGTAGAGCTGAAGGCCACGTACGAAAGAATTGCAGAACACCCCAGAGTGCAAAAATTAAGATCATTTCCCAGCAACGACACAGGAAACAAATTAATGGCCATATCGAGGAACAGAGGTTGCCAGAGAATGAAAAACCTTGTTTTAAAGCGCTCAAGATTTCTACAGTGAGTGACAACAGTAACGGACTGTCCATCAATGGGCACATCGATGGAGTTCCTTGCAATATGATCATTGACACAGGAGCTAATGTTACCATCATTTGGAGAGATTTAGCTCAACAGTTTAAAGATAAACTTATTTGGATGCCATACTGTGTTACCCTTCAGACTGCGTCTGGTGACAAGATCGACATAACTGGGAAGTTAAACGTGAACATCACGTTTGGAAGTGCCGCCTACCATCACACGGCTTTCAGTGTCTCACAGAAGTGATGGGACACTTTTGCTTTACAAAAGGAAACTGTAGTAAAATAAATTTAAAAAACATGTAAAAAATTTTTGTGGGTGTGTTTCATATTT